CGATGAAGTCAGCCAACACCTGGGACTTGATTGCCGTTCGGGGTGCATACACGATGCCTTGATCCATCAGCTCGAGTGCCCATTTTGCGGTTCTCCCCGTGGTGTCCTGGCTATGGACGATCTCGCCGAGGGGGAACGACATTACGACTGTCACGGTGTGCGACTCGAAGTAGTGGCGTAACTTCCTCTTGGTGATGAGTACGGCGTATAGAAGTTTCTAGATTTGGGAGTAGCGGGTTTTGGAGTCGGAAAGTACCTCGTTGATGAAGTACACTGGGCGTTGTACTTTGAAGGTGTGCCCTTCTTCTTCCTGCTCTACTACTAGGGCGACGCTGACCACTTGCGTGGTGGCCGCTATGTATAGTAGGAGGGATTCTCCGTTGCTTGGAGGAACCAGGACCGGGGGCTTTGTTAGAAGTAGCTTGACCATGTCAAGCGCCTGGGCCTCGGCTGTCCACTCGAAGCGGTCGGCTTTCTTCAGGAGTTGATAAAGGGGGAGTCCTCGTTCGCCAAGGCGCGAGATGAATCAGCTGAGGGCGGCGAGGCACCCTATGATCTACTAAACCCCCTTTATGTTCTGGATCAGGCCCATCTTTGTGATGGCTGAGATTTTCTTTGGGTTGGCTTCGATGCCGCGCTCGGAGACGATGAAGCCGAGCAGCATGCCCCTCGGGACCCCGAAAACACATTTCTCGGGATTGAGTTTGATGCCATTTGCCCAGAGTTTGGCAAAGGTTCTTTCAAGATCGGCGACAAGGTGGTCAGCACGTTTGGACTTGACTACGATGTCGTCGACGTAGGCCTCAACGGTTTGCCCGATGAGGTCCCTGAAGCAATTGAGCATACAGCGCTGGTAAGTTGCCCCGGCGTTCTTCAGACCAAACGGCATTGAGATGTAGCAGAACGATCCGAAGGGGGTGATAAAAGACGTCGCGAGCTGGTCGGACTCTCTCATCACGATATGGTGGTAGCCGGAGTACGCGTCAAGGAAGCAGAGGGTTTCGCACCCTGAGGTAGAATCGACTATTTGGTCTATGCGTGGCAAAGGAAACGGGTCCTTTGGGCACGCCTTGTTGAGACCTGTGTAGTCGACACACATCCTCCATTTTTCGCTCTTTTTTCGTACAAGAACAGGATTTGCTAACCACTCTGGGTGGTGTACTTCCCTGATGAATTCGGCGGCTAACAGTTTTGCTATTTCTTCACCGATGGCCCTGCGCTTTTCCTCGTCGAAGCGGCGTAGGCGTTGTTTCACCAGCTTGGAGCCTGGGTGGATTTTTAAAGTATGCTCGGCGACCTCCCTCGGGATGCCCGGCATATCCGAGGGTTTTCATGCAAAGATGTCTTTGTTGTCGCGGAGGAAGTCGACGAACGCGCTTTCCTATTCGGAGGAGAGCGTGGTACCAATGCGTACCGTTTTACCCTCGGAGCTGCTGGGGTCTACGAGGACCTCCTTGGAGCCCTCTGCCGATTCAAACGACCCAGTTGATTTCTTCGCGTCGGACGTTTTTTCGGCAACCTCCTCCCTAAGGGCGGCGAGTTCCCTGGAGGCGACGACCGCGGCGGCGTGGCCGCAGCATTCGACTTCGCACTTGTAAGCGCGCTGGAAGGAGGCGCCGACGGTGATGACCCCGCGGGGACCCGGCATCTTCAGCTTGAGGTATGTACAGTTGGGGACGGCCATGAACTTCACGTAACATGGTCGTCCTAGGATGGCGTGGAAGGTTCCCGGGAATCCCACCACGTCGAAGGTGAGGGTCTCAGTCCTGTAATTGGACTGATCCCCGAAAGTGATGGGCAGATTGATCTGTCCCAGTGGCACGGCCTGTCTGCCAGGCACGACGCCATGGAAAGGCGCTCGGATCAGCGGAGGTTCGTCCGGTCAACGCCCATCTCGTCGGGCGTCTTGGCGTACATGATGTTGAGGCCGCTGTCTCCGTCTATCAGTACTTTCATGAGTCGCTTCGGGCCAACGATCGGGTCGACTACAAGCGGGTACCTTCCTGGGTGTGGGACGACATCCGGATGGTCGGTCCGGTCGAAGGTTATGGCGGATTCTGACCACCGGAGGAAGGCAGGCGTGGCCGGTCCGGCCGTATAGACCTCGCGGCGCGCGACCTTCCGACGGCGTTTGGAGTCGTAGGTTGTTGATCCTCCAAAGATCATGAGGGCGCCGTTCGGTGTTCGGAAGGCGTCGTCCTTCTCCTCGGTGTCGTCTGCGGTGGGGGCAGGTTCCTTCCCCTGCTCCCCATTGTTGAGGCCTCCGGACAAGTATTTGTGCATAAGGCCACAATCCTTGTACATATGCTTGGCCGAGAAAGCATGGTTTGGGCACGGTCCCTCGAGCATTTTTTCGAAGTGGTTTGGAGTGCCCTCCGTGGGCTTCCGGCCACCCTTGCGGTCGGTAGCGGCCACGAGCGAGTCGTCGCGCCGTTGCTTCTTATTCTTTCTTTTGGTGGGACGATTGGAGGTGCCTTTGCCGGCGCCCTCGTCTCGCCTCGCCTTGCCGTCGGAATGGTCGAAGATTGCTCCGACCGCCTCCTCTCCTGAGGCATGGCTTGTGGCAATGTCCAGGAGTTCCTTGGTGGTCCGTGGGCCCTTGCGTCCTAGTTTATGGACCAAAGACTCGCAGGTGGTCCCGGATAGGAAGGCTCCTATTACGTCGGCATCGACGACGTTAGGGAGCTCGTTGCACTGCCGGGAGAAGCACCGGATGTACCCGGGAGGGTTTCATCGGCCTTCTAGCGGTAGTTCTTGAGGTGCCATGGGTTCCAAGGGCGCTTGTACGTGCCCTGGAAGTTCACCACAAAGATTTCCCTCAGATCCGCCCAACTCTGAATGGCGTTGGACGGTAGGTGCTCCAACCATGCTCGTGCCGAATCGGCCAAGAATAGTGGGAGATTGCGAATAATAAAATCGTCATCATTCGCGCCACCAGCTTGACAGGCAAGCCGATAGTCTTCGAGCCAAAGCCCGGGGTTTGTTTCCCCAGAATATTTAGAGATGTTGGTAGGCGGTCGGTACCTTGATGGGAAAGCAGCGTTGAGGATGTACCGGCCGAAGGCCTGAGGGCCCAGTAGGCCGGGGCTTGGGCTCTAGTCCTCGCCACTGTCGTAGCGTCCGTCGCGCCGAGGGTGGTAGCCACGTTTGGCTCCTTCTCTTGAGTCGTTGTAGGCGCGTCTGCGGGCGTCGATGGTGCTGCGTGCATCGCGGTTGTGGCCGAGACGTTGATGCACCGGAACAACGGTGTGCTGCCTGCCGCCTAGCGGTGTCTGGTGAACCGACACGTCCTTGGTGGGAGCGCACCGAGGGCGTGCGCTGGCTGGTGTCGAGCTCGCGTCGCCGAGACAACGAGCTTTTCGCCTGCTACGCCGCTGCACGCTCGAGCAACGTGCGAATTTCTCGGCGGGCCCGGCGATCTTCGGACGTCGCGGCCTCTGGAAGGCCGTGAAGCAAGGCCGTCGCAGCGGTGATGTTCTGGCTTGCCCGAGCGAAGTGAGGGAGGGTCCCGTCGTCGGTGAGGATCCTCTGGTGTACATCACGGGCCGTGGCGCGTGCGTGCCCACCGTCTCCGCGACGCTTGATTTCCTCATCGATCTTCCGGTACTCCCGGACAAGCTGTTGTCCGGCGTCATCGATCTTCAGCTTCCGTGCTCTCAGCTGCTCCATCCTTACGTGAGATGGGGCCGCCGCCTCCCCTCCGGTCCTGGCGTCGCGGAGAGTTTGCACTTTTTAGGCTATGCAAGAGTTTGCAGTGGCCAATTCCAGAATTTGAATTTGTGGAACAAAGGTTTAGGTATGTCAAATAATCCCCAAACATTACTTTCCTGTAAAAGAATGTGAAACTTCATTCACAAGAGCTTTGGTGATTCTTAATCATTTGGTCTTCAGGAACTTTTTGTCTTTGTTTGTCTTTTACCTTTTAAGAATCATGGTTCAAACAAGACTACCTTCAGAAAATTAGCTGGTTTAGTGTTCATATGTATGATGCTAGTTTTTTTTATTCATGAAGCCTAAACAATCATCTGCATAATCATATATCTGAGCAGTGATTTTTTTTCTGGATGAATATTTTCTGATAGATGATTTAAGCAAAATTTGGTTTATTTTTCACGGTGTTTGTTTTATTTTATTTTTGCTACAACAGGACTCCTATTGTTCTGGATGGGGTTACAACCACAAACTTCAATAGCTTCGTTTCAACTATCACCTTGCACATACCTGATGTGACGGTCATTACACTTCAAGGTGAGCGCCGGACTGACAAGAAGAGTTCTCAGGATTCAGCGTCTCTGGTAATGCTTCGAAAACTTGAAGAACTCAAGGTCTGCATATGCAAGACACAGCCAAGCAACATGGATAGTAATGCTAGTTAATGGACTAACACTGATTAATGTGGGGAGGGTATTATCTCCTCAGCTCCCAATGTGATTTGTGTTGAAGATGTTTCTGAGACTCGACATGCTAAGTGACTGTAGGTTGCGTTAAAGTACTTGCTGGTATAGTGGTATGGTACATCTCCTTTCATTGCCTTAGCAGTAATATCTGAACACTTGGGTTCAAGCTAGAGCTCTACAGATATTGGGAGCGGCATAAGAACTTTCCTGCCTTCTCATTTCTCAAAGCTTATACAAACTACGGTTCATTTGATAGGCCAAGCAAAACATTTTGCATTGCTACTATTTGGACCCACGTGTCACGTATGACGTATGGTGAAAAATTCCACCCCAAAACCAATTAGGCCGTGCCCAGAAATCACAAAATGTCGTCCTCACAATCCCATGCCAGTTGCCAGCCAGCCACTGGGCCGATTGAGCAACATCCAATCGTGTACACAGCTCTTCATGTCAAATTGCCAATTTCACCATATAGGAAAACATAAAAGCAAAATACTGCTACCAACCTATCATCAGTTCATCACCAGCACACCAAGTTGTCTCCCCAAAACCGTTCAAGCCCTAACTAAATGGCATCATTTACAGCGTCCTCGTGCATTGTGATCACCTACCAAAGCGCGACGATGGTGTCTTGCCGGCCCTGTCGAGCAAACCTGCCATGACCACCTTCTTCTTGCACTCCTCCTGCGTGGCCACCCCCACGGGGTCACCGAAGCGCCGGCTACTGCTACTAACGCCATCGACGCCGCCGCTACTCAGCTGGTCCTTGGCGCTGGCACTGGCGCCGCCGGCAGCCCAGGCCCGGACGAAGCGCGCGCCGTACAGGCACGAGCATAGGAAGACAACGGCGGCGACGCGGCCGAGGAGCACGATCACGCCCAGCGTCGTTGCCGCCGTCCACAGGCCGCCGCTGCTGGAGCAGTCGCCGGGCTGACGAAGCGAGTGGCGCCTCGACGGCGCTCGCCAGGTGCGGCCGGCGCCAGCGGGCCCGTCGCTTGGTCCAGGGCTCGGCGCCTGGCTCGTCGTCTCCGGCGGCCGAGAACGGGCATGCGGCGCTGTGGTCCATCCGGTGCTGCTCGCAGTCGCAGCAGTGCTCGAGGCTTGCGGTTGTCGGCTGCCGCTTGCCGCGTCGTCGTCTACCGTTGGCCGTCGTGGCCTGCGGTTGCTTTGCTTCTTGGCGTCGCCGTAACTGCTCACCTGCGGAGTGCGCCATGGCATGATGGCAATGAGCGTTTAAGCGATGGCAATATTGATGCATGCACTGAATCGTGTGATGACATGGCAAGCACTAGTTGTGTGGTTGCCTTGGTGCCTAATGGTGTAATGTGATGGCGTCAGCGAGTGTCAAACCCCTTCATAGTTCATACAGCCACAACCGCTTGTACTAGTGCTAGGCTGCTAGTAGATTAGACAACATTATTCTGTTTGCAAAATCTCAAAGCCAAATCGATATAGAAAGTACTAATATGGAAGTTTCCGACAATGACACGTTAACTAGCTACAAGAGATCAACAGATTTTATTAGCTTAATACTATATGACAAAGAGAGTAAAAGCTATAATAATAGTTATAGTTAGACGAGAGGTTATCAACTAACATGCTATATACTAGTATACTACTACTAGTACTAGTGATATATATGGACCTTATAGATAGCTGGCGAACTTGAAGAAGTGAAGCACTGCAGATTAAACTAGTTGACTTTTCCTGCCAAACATTGGTATTCAAAAGGGCCAGGCCCCAGGCAAGAACAAGATGCTTTACAACAGAGGATGCTTGGTCCGGTAGTTTGGCCGCGCGACATGAAAATGACATGCATGATTAATTCTAACCAGAACAATTTTTGTATTGCTTTGCTTGCTTACTGCTGTCGCCCAAGAAAAGCTTGAATTGAAAAACCTGGTCTGGCCGCGTATATACATAATTAATTCTATGGCTGCTTAGCGGCAAATTAAGAGTAGGGACGGACGTAGGTTAAATCCAATAGAGTAGTATTGATTTCTAACCGTGGATTAAGGTCTCTATCTATTGGACACCCAATGAATAAGAACTTAACTTTACGATGCGTTGGATCCCCGTGCGCCCCATCCATCTTCTTCCACTCAGCAGTTGCCACCGCCGGGCTCTCAGATCATAAGCCAGCTGACGATATATAGGTAAACCCGCGAGGCTGAAGTAAAACAGGCCTAGTGTAGTCACGAGCTTTTAGTAAACCCACACCACACCTGCGAAATGAGGAGCCGTAGTCGCACGCCCAAAACCTCTCACAACAGTGACGCGCGGCCGAGAGAGGAAGAGGCCGGCGACGGCGTTGGTGGGCCAATCACGCAGCCTCCCGCGGTTGGCGCCCATGTATGGCCTTGGCCACGACGCCGCCGGTCGATCCCGTTAAACCAACCACTTATCTACTCGCCACTAATGGCACAGGTTACGCGCCAAGGATGCATGATATATCCAGTCGACGTCAAAGTTCATTAAGCGCTAATAACTTATTAACAGTAAAGTAGTTAATAAGCTCACAATCGATATCATCCATCGAGCAAGCAGTGGTGAGTAGTCGTGGTCACGACGGAGCACCGATCACGCCCATGACGCGATCAATCGATCGGATCAGACGTACCTTGGCCGGCACTGGCACTGGCAGCAGGGCGCTGCTGTCCCCGGAGACGACGGACGCGAGCGCCTTCTTGGGCTGCAGCGAGGTCGTGAGCAGCAGCAGCAGCCGCCTCCCGCCCCTCCTCCGCCTCTTCGCCTGCTTCTCGCTGCTGTCGTCGCCGCCGCCCGCGTCCCCCTTGCCGCTCCTCCGAAGCCACGGCCACGCCAGCCACGGCAGCCTGAGCCTGAACCTGAGCCTGCGGCGCCGCCTCCTCTTCGCCTGCGCGGCGCTGGACTTCTTGGGACGACTCCCGGACCCGGAGGCGCCCCAGAGGCAGCAGAACGGCAGGCACGAGCACCGTTGCCTGTCGGAATCGTCGTCGGCGGCGCCATCCTCGTTGAGCACAGGCATGGTCCCCGCCGCTGTGTGACCAGCTAGAGCATGGCGTGCTTTGACCAGCCGGCGGGGACGACGACGGCGACGGCGGCCGGAGCCGTGGAGACTGGAGACATGTCACCGCCGCAAGTAATCAAAGGTTTTTTGGAAGCTTCTTGTGTTCTTGTAATCTTACTTGCGGCTTGAGTGCTTGACCGGATAAAGAATTTTAGTTACGCTAGCCGCTAGGTATGTGTGAGCTGATCGATCGGATTTGGAAGAGGAGGATTCAGAGATCGATCAGTTTTCTTTTCTATATAGGAGGGAGGCGAGCACGCGGTGTTGCTTCGGGGATCATGACTGCAACTCATGGAACGAAAACGAACAGCCTTGGCACGTAGCAGAGGTAAGTAGAGCAGCTCGATCGCGAAAGCTAAAGCTGAGTCGACCGAGGAGGAATTTTTTTAAAAAGTCACGGTCGCCTATTAGAAAAACGTGGAGGAGACCGCTTTGTAGCGATCGCGCAAGGGGGCAAACACTGGCGCCAGCGAGGAGGAGCTACCCGGGCAAACTATTTCGTTCTACTTACGCTGCACGCAAGCTTGCAACGAAAAATGTATAAAAAAACGAACCGGGCTGGGTGAACAATTGTTTTGGATGAATTGGCGACTCAGGAACGAGGTGGAATTGTATCTTCCGACAAACGCATGTTCTTTAGTAAAGAAAGTGGATGTATTTTTTTTTTTCACTAGCGATGTGGCCCGCAGATATTGTACGGCTAGCGTGCGGAGATCACTCGTGTCAACTTGTTTATATATGGAACTAGGCGTTCTAATATCAGCGATTACATGCTATGACTTTGCTTTAATGGGCCTGTTTGGAACGGATTATAATCGGATCCCTGGACGCCCCACGGCGAGAATCGAAAAAATTCCGCTAAACGTCTGGTGGTGGCCGTGCTTCTCTCGCGACTGCCCATAAGGAGAAAAATCGGAAAATGAACTATATCGTAGATTACTAGTATCGCAGCCACGAAGCCGCGGATGGGATATCGCACCGTGCGGTCGCAGATCTAAGTTCCAAACAGGGCTATAGTTGGCTCTGTGTAACTTGTGACGGGTGGTCATAATTCTCCGTGAATTAAATTGCCATGATTTGGTTTCCACCCGATCCAGTTTGAGCCCTTGTTTAGTTCGCGAATTTTGGATTTTGGGTTACTGTAGCACCTTCGTTTTTATTTGGCAAATAGTGTCCAAACATTGACTAATTAGGCTTAAAACGTTCGTCTCGCAATTTCCCACCAAACTGTGCAATTAGTTTTTCTTTTCGTCTACATTTAATACTCCATGCACGGGCCGCAAACATTCGATGTGACAGATACTGTAGCAACTTTTTGGATTTTGGGGTCCAACTAAACAAGGGCTGAATCCTATGGTTCAAAGTTTGACAGCCTGTTCGGTTGGCTGGTTCGTTTCGTTGCTGGTTCGTAAAGAAGTACGGCTGTGAATCCTCGCCCTCGGTACGCCACCCAAGCGGCTCGCAGCTTCCCCCCACTGCCGTGCCAGTCTTCCCATCGTCATGCCCATCCGCCGTCGCTGCACTTCCATCTACAGCCCTATTCCGCCGCCAGCACCCCTACACAACACACAATGGAGAGCAGCTTCAGCGCCATCGCTGTCGATGCGAGACCCACAGGATACCCCGCAAGAGAGAGAAGATCTAGTTCAACTAGGATTCTTCCCATGTAATCTTAGTAATAGAACTATTAAGTAATCCTACTAGAAAATCTCATTGTAAACCGACTAGGACTCTGGCCTCCTGACTATATAAAGGAGGGCAGGGCTCCTGAAAGAGCAAGTACAATTGTACAACATAACACTTCATAATCAATCCAACGCAAAAAAGGCAAACGCCGATCGGGCGTAGGTCGTTACTCGATCTACGATCGAGGGCCCGAACCAGATAAATCGATTGTCTCTTGCGCGCTTACCATCGAAGTTCAGCTACGCCGGCCCGAACGATCTCGCCACGGTACCCTCGGCGGCGCTGCTATCGATGGTAAAACATCGACAACCGGGCGCGCGCGCCAGGTAGGGGATTTCGGCGACTTTGCATCCGAGACCTCGATGGACCTCAATAACATGATCTTCCCGACGGGATCGATTTTCATCTTCGGCTCGTGGATCTGCGAGGCGGACAACTATGGCAAGCTTCAAAGCCATCTCCTCAAAGATCCGGATCATCATGAAGAATCCTCTATTTCGACAACTACGATGGATCAGCTCACCAGAAGATTCGCGCAGCCCATAATACCCGATTCGAATAAGATTCCACGGCTACACGCATCCGACTCGAATTCAAGCTCCGTATCCGAGATGAAGTCCTATTCGAGTGCTTTCAAGAAGTCGAGTTCCTTTTTAGCAAGATTCCAGAGCACAACCCAAAACAACTCGGATTACCCTCAGAATTCTTTCAAAAGGCCGAGTTCTTTTCTATTTGGGCTCGACAACACGACAAAATCCTATCAGAGACAGTTTGAAAGGTCTTTAAATCAACACTTGGGATACCACTGACAGGAGCTCAGGAGGGTCTCGTACTAACGATAACATCGCAAGACTGTATCATCCACTGGCCAGGATCCGTTCCTGAGGATAGCAGAACCCAACTAGTCGGCACAACAACAATAGCTATTCTGCCTTACCAAGAGGGAGACTCAATCTACGACGTCGAGGTGCATACTGAAGTCATCAGCAACTCCGACAGTATGAAAACTAACAACAATAACGGAACGGCTCACGCACGGGAAGTGCTCATGGTTCGACGTCCTCGGTCACCATTAAACCCCCGAAGCACCCGATGTCGTCATCGATGAATCGAATCCAACATATCACCCTTTGCTCGGGGCTACGATGGAGAAACCGAGAGTCGAGAGGCAAAGCTAGAGAAAGGAAAAACAAGTTGAAACAAGGGCGCCAAAGACACGCTTGACAAACAGAGAGAAGCTGGACCAGATCTGAGTCGAAATTGGCTGAATACGACAAAAGAAAATCACAACAAGAGGCGAAGAGAGACGCATGCGGAGTACGCCTTACGATAAGATTCGAGAAGCATTAGAAGAAGACTCGGGGCAACTTCACATCACGGAGAGAAGTACGAACAGCTCCAGGACTTGCTCCGGTCAACGATCCCAAGAACGCATGAAGAGAGAACCGGTCAAGACTACCCGCCAGATCAACAACCCGCAGTAAGAAGATCAAAATCAAAGGAAGTCCGCTTTTGAAAGACTTAGACCAAAGCGGAAGCCATAACGGAGAAAGTAGGAGGAACATAGTCGGGGCCATCAATTTGAACAACCAAGGAAGACCAGGAGTAGAGGCCAACCCAGACGACCTCACATACTTATTCCCATCAAAACAACACTTGGCCGTAAGAAGGAGCCGAATCCGAATTCAAGGAAGCGGAACGCATGATGATTCCCCTGCTTTGCAAAAACAGGTTGGCATCAATCTGATTACCTCACAAATTCAAACCGTCTAATCACTCCAAGTATGATGGCAAAACCAAACCAAGACAATGGCTCGTAATATATTCACAATCAATTGAACTAGCCGGAGGAGACGATGATATCAAAACCTTGTTCTTTCCCATGGCATTGGAAGCGACGCCTCCAATGGTTCGATAAATTGAACCCGTGGATCGATCGTAACTTGGGAAGACTTGCAAAGAGCTTTCGTGAAAATTTCGCAGTATCATCACACACCCGATCACTCATGCCGAACTGAAAGGACTCAAGCAAAAGGGGGCGAAAGTCTCGAGAAATTACTATCGGCGATTCGGTGAACTGCATGGGCTCAAGTGCATGACATCACCGAACGAGAAGTAATTGAAGCTTTCTCTCACGGAATCATGGCTAGATGGCAATTTCAAGACTTCGCAAAGAAAATCCGAGAAATAATGAAGAATTCGATTTAACAAGAGAAAAAATGATTACCGCAGAAGAAAAAAAAAACGAGAAAGGTTCCCTGATAGAAGCAACCAAGACAACCCGGATAGGCAAAATCATCGAAATAGCGTACATCAAGAAAGAAAGCGTGAGACCGACACAATACCGTGGCAATGGCCGACAAATCAAAGAAGTATTCCAAACCCGTAAGATATGATGACATTGAAAACATACGTTGCCGTTACACCCTAACGGGAGACACACCATCGGAAATCGCTACACTTTCAATGATCGATACACGAGAAAAGATAGTAAGGAGAACACCAAAGAGGACAATCACAAGAAAGATGAAGACAACCATGAGGACAAGGGATTTCAAAAACCCAGGGAAACGGTAGCAGTGATCTTCTCAGGGGCCCCAGATTGCACAAGCAAACGTCAAGAAAAACTAGCACTACGGACTATCATGACGGCAGAACCGGCTACACCAAGATATCTCAATTGGTCACAATATCCAATCCAATTTTCAAGAGAAGACCAATGGACTAGCGTGAGGGAACGCGGCCATTACCCACTAGTCTTAGACCCAACTATTGCCGGTATGACCGTCACCAAAGTACTAATTGATGGGGGAGCTGGACTCAACATCATCTTTTCGTAAACACTAAGGAAGATGGGACTACAACTCATTGGGATGATTACACCAACAAGCACCCCTTTTACGGAATAGTACCCGCAAAGCAGCCATGCCACTCGGACAAGTTACTTTACCCATCACTTTTGGAACTCCTGCGAACTATCGAACGAGTTTATCAAATTTGAGGTCGCAGACTTGATTCGTCATATCATGCGATCCTCGGACGCCCAAAGATCGGCAAAATTCATGGCAATACCACATTATCCGTACTTATTGCTTAAGATGCCAGACCCAAGATATCCTCTCTTCAAGCGATTTGAAGCGTGTTTTTTGATCATGACGTTCAGTAATCCAAATTGCGGCAAAAGCACAGCCGACAATGGGAGAAAACAAATAGCCACAATTGTGCGGAGATAAGCCAAGAAGAATTAGAAATACCGCTAAAAAAAGCCCAAA